GGATAACCAGAGCAAAGGTCCAACCTCAGAGCCGCAGTAGTGAACAAACAGCTCTGAGATCCTTCTTCCAGGAGCCAACTTGACTTCAGCTTCCTACACAGCCCTGGTCCTGCCGTGGGACAGAAGGATGCTCTGTCCCTTCCCCAATGTGCTGATGCTCCTGGTGCAAACACCCCCCTGAAACAGTCATTCACACCCCACAACCACAGCCCCACAACCACAGGGATCCCCGGGCCCATTTAACCCCACACAGCAGTGACTCCTGTCCCTAACCTCACTGTCAGCCTTCAAACCAGAAACAAAATGAAAACTGCCTTTGAACACTCTATGATGGGGTAAGACCTCTGGGTTACTCATGTCTCCGAGTAAGACGAAGATGATGCCAAAGGCAGTGATTCTAAAGAGAAGCACAAGCTGCATCATCATCATCATCATCATCATCATCATCCCCATTATCATCCTCGCCGTCATCACTGTCGTTATCATCATCATCTCCATCATCACCACCACTACCCCCATCATCATCATCATCACCATAACTAGCACCATCATAGCCATCATCAGCATCATCAGCATCATCACTGTCATCATCACCCCCCATCATCATCATCACCACCATAACTAGCACCATCATAGCCATCATCAGCATCATCAGCATCATCACTGTCATCATCACCCCCCATCATCATCATCGCCACCATAACTAGCACCATCATAGCCATCATCAGCATCATCAGCATCATCACTGTCATCATCACCCCCCATCATCATCATCGCCACCACCATCAGCAGCATCACCATCCCAAACCCAGAAAGCAGAGGTCACAGCTGTGGCCACACAGCCATGGCCTAGAACTTACAGGTGATGCTGAGGGCCAGGGTGGGGGGGGAGCCACAGCTGGGAGCAGCAAAGGGTGGGACACATGCGCACACTGTCCCCCGTCATACGCACACACGCACACAAACACACGGCAGTCCAAATGCGTTTACCTATTGGCACAAGTGCAAACGAATAGAAGCCCACAGGTGGCAAGGCTTGCACTGGGCTCTGCAGCTGTCCTCCCCGACTCCCATTAGGGAGCTGAGGAAACTTAGCTGTGGTTGGGTTAGTTTTTGTTGCTGCTTGCCTGAATCCCCTGGTGAAGGATAGAGGAAAGATGGTTCTGCAAAGGGCATGTGCTCTCAGCCCTTCCAGAAGGAGAGTCCTGGGAGCAGCAAGGCAGTCCGTCCCATTGTCACATACATTAATAACATGCAAAGCTCTTTAGGCTGATTGCTTGCTGCTCGCAGGAAGCCGCCGTGGGCGGCTGCCAGGAGGCTGTGCTCACCCCTGAGAACTTGCTGAGTGAGACATGAAGCAGGGGCCCGCCTGATTTCCCACAGCAAGGGCCCATGCAGGGAGCCCCGAATGAGGCCACCCACCAGGGGCCCTGTGCCCTCCCTGTGGCCCCAGCAAGATGAGGGGGCAGAGGGAGCACCTCCCCGCCAAGTAGCCCTGCTCAGCTCCACATACATCAGCTCCCTGTGGCCTGACAACTATGATCTACCATTTCCTTAGACTTTACATGTCCCTGAGCTACTTCCTGTAGAGCCAAAGAACGGCAGAGAAGACACCTTTACCCTGGTCCTTTTCCAGATCTTGCTGCTGACCTGCTCACAAACCTTCCCATTAGAGTGAAACCAAGTCCAAAGTCCTACAATGGCCTATGAGGCCTTCTGGGCTCTGACCTCAGGCCCCTTCCCGTGTTCCCTTCCCACCACTCTCCCCCTGGCTCGCCCTGCACCAGGTACACCCTCCTCCTCATGGATCCTCTGGCATGCCAAGTTCATTCCACCCTCAAGACCCTTGCACATGCTACTCCATCTGCTGAAATCGCTCTATAGCCAGATCTTGCTTGACGGGCCCTTCTGGTCTCTTCACAAATACCTCCTGGTCTCTCCACTAACACCTGGTTGCACCATCCCTGACCACCACATCTAAAATGGCATCCCCACCAAACCACTCTCTTCTTACCTTGCTTTGTCTTTCTTCATGGAGGTTATCACTACCTCAATTACTTTGACTTCATCCATTTCTTTATTTAGTGACCACCCCCTGCCTCCACCAGAAAGTCAACTCCTTGAAGTCAGGGATCTTGTCTGTCTCAGACACTCAGTATCCCCAGTACCTACAGTAGGGCCTGATTCACATTAGCTCCTCAGTGAATATTTGATCCATTTGAAGACAAACAAACTGAGACCTGGACAGGCATTAGTCTGTAGGGTGCAGCCTCCCAGGCAAGCATGGGCTGGGCCGGGCTCGGATATTTACTGCCTTGGGCTGTAGGCTCCCTTCCTGTTCTTCTAAACCATATCTCACTCGCAAGAAGGGACCAACCTCACCTCTCAGGTGCTTCCCCAGTGCTCAGAAAGGGCCCGGCAGAGTAGGTGCTCAGTGAATCACCAAGTTCATCAGCCAGGCCTTTAAGAAATTGCCCAATTCCCCTTATCAGACTCAGTAGCTCTCCACAGCCCTGGAAAGCTAGAACACCCCTAAACAGAAAGCTACCCTCCCCGGGACAAGGAACCAGCAACAGCACTGTGGAGCACTGTGAGGGGCACAGATCAAAACCCAACGATGACCCTCTGTCTAAAGAGTTGACCTCCACATGCTTAAAAACCAAGATCTTCCCGTAAATATAAAGAAGGGTCCTAAGGCAGGTCAGCAACACCCTGGCACCAACCAGCAAGGACAAGAGTACTAGCTGCACAGAAAATGAGGGGGGTGCCTGGAGGATCCAGGAGAGAAACAGGAACTCTCGGGGAACACTGCACTAAGGATGATTGCCAGTGCCTAGTGAGAAAGCCCTGGAAAAAGAGAATGGGGCTCCCTCCATGCCATTCCCGTATTTAATATGCTTAAGTTGATGGTGTATTAAGCCATAAATCAGATGTTGCCACTCAGTGGTCTGCAAGCCTTATCAGCCCTGACACAGGCAGAGCTGGCCAAGAGAGAGTTTAGAATTTTTGTCATTAGTTGCCAACATTTAAAAATTAAGAGATTTTGCAGGAAAGTCCAGATTTCTGGCTCCTTTTGAGACACAGAAAGCACTGGCCATACCAGGCCTTCACTTGGGAACCTCAGTGGAGCCTGCCTGACTATCCCCTTCAGGGAAGGATGGGCTCCCCCAAGCACCCACAGTTGCTATACTGCTGGCCCTTCTTACAGCCAACGTGCTCTACACTGTAATATTCCTGCCTGGTTGTCGTGGGCCTTCAGATCTGTGACTTGGCTGTACCTGGCTGGCATTCCAAAGGGAGGCTTTAGCCATTCTTTTTTTTTTTAAGATTTTTATTTATTTATATATTTGAAAGAGAGCAAGAGAGGGAGAGAAAGCACAGAGGGAGAGGGAGAAGCAGGCTCCACCGAGCAGGGAGCCCAATGTGGGACTCAATCCCAGGACCCTGGGATCATGACCTGAGCCGAAGGCAGATGCTTAACCGATTGAGCCACCCAGCAGACGCTTAACCGATTGAGCCACCCAGGCGCCCCGGCTTTAGCCATTCTTATCTGATCCTCCAGTTGTCTTCAAAAGCCCCAAGTTACCCAGTACCCAAGAGTGGTTCACGTGGTGACGTGGACTGGATGGACCCATGGGGCCACTGTAGAGCAGCAAGAGAACAACAGATACACAGCTCCCTTGCCCACCCCGTGGGCCCTGCTAGCCATGGAGTTGTCTCCAACTGGGTGCTCACGGCTGGGCACCGGTTCTCTGGCTCGTGGTTCTTCCCGAGGGTGAGAGTTCCCCCCGGTTAAGCTTGCTAGCTCTTTAGGAGCAGGGCCCGTGTCTTTCTCCCCCAACGAACTCGCTGCAAGGGGTCCAGGGAAAGGGGCCCATTCACTGTGTCTTGGTGATGGCTGGCCACCCGACAGGCTGAGAAAGGAGGGTTCCTCAGCTCAAAAGTAACTCTGCAGGGGGAAAGCACCAGCAGCTCTTCCTCCTTCTGTCAGCCCCGCCACCAGCAGCCCTGAGAAGCCACCAGCCGCTGTGCCTGCTTGGACAGGCGAGCGAGAGCCCAGATGAGAGGTGCCCTGGGCGCTCCCGCCTGCTCCTGGGCAGGACCTGCACGTGCCCAGCCAGCACAGGGAGCCTCGGGTGTGGGGAGGGGGGGTGCACTGAGAGGCCCCCTGCATCCCCATCCCCCGCCCCCGCCATGTATTCTGACATCTCTCCAGCTCAATCCCAGCTACCCTGGCTAAGGGCTGTGAGCATCTTGTCACATTTTGCTAGCACCATCCCCTACCACCCGGGGTGCACCCTGCATCCGGTTTTCCTCACCTGGCTCTGGAAGCTATGCTTTCCCACAGAGAATCCGTGAGGCCCCGTCCCGTCAGGCTGGCCATAGCACGGCTCCTCGAGCCATTAACACATCCGCCCTCGACCTCAGCGGCACAGGCTGGTTCTACAGTCTCAGCCAGACGCTCTGCACAGACGCAGTGCAAAACCACCATTCACAGACTACAGCCCTGCACTGGGCCTTCTTGGGACTTTATCTCATTTAAATCCCACAGCAACCCTCAGGGAAAGTAGTATTATCCCAGGCTACAGACCAGTAAACAGGCTCAAAAAGATGGTGCCAGCAGGGAGCTGGGGCCTGTGTGTCTCCAGAGGCAGTACCCCTCCTCCATGTTACCAGCAGCCCTCACCCCTGAGGAAGCACCCCTGTGCCCCCGCCTAAGCTGCTAAAGTTCTCAGATTTCCTCCGCAAGGAAAGGGATCAGTGGGGTGTGGGAAGGAGAAGGGAGAAAAAGGGGACACACTCAGGTCTTCTGCCCCGTCCCTTGTGGCCGAAATTAAAGTAGTTCATTTCCCGCCATATGGTAGGAGCCCAACCTCGGCGCTCAGCACCTGCCAGGGTACCAGGGCTTTGTGGATGGAGCGGGGTGGGATACATGCATGTTTCTCCTGCTACCCGTTTTCCTCGACATCCCACTTCCATCTGGTTCTTTCCTCCCATACCTTCACACAGCTCTGTCACAGCAACTTCTTTCTCCCCAATCTCCATGGCTCCAGTCGTGCCCTTGTCCCTGGCTTTCTCCCTGACATCGCTCATGGACGCAGATACCGACGACATGCAAGTAACACACTGTGGGGAGGGAGATGCCACAGCAAACAGCTGAGAAATGAGCATCAGACACGCCTGTTAATAGTCCATCAACCATGCCCACTTCTCTCCTTTGGTCAATCAACCCAGCAGCAGGTCACCATGAGAATCTCTAATGTCAACCACTAGTGCATTTCAAAATTGGGAACGTTGACCTAGCCTGGAGTCAATAAGATTTTTCATTTTTCTCGATGCTCTAAGTGCTCCATATCCTTAAATTTTCTAAGACTTATCTGTCTCCCTGTCTATACAACAGTTACTGGGAACCCTCGGGTGGCCAGGCCTATGAAAGAGAGAAAAGAGGAGACCTATACTCAAGAATATTCCCCATGCTTCATTCTTAGAGGAACCTTGTGGGTCAACTATCATTTTAAATCCACTGTACAGATGGGGAAGCAAAGCTCAGAAAGCTGCAGGGTGAGGACATGGGACCTGAACCAGGTCTGTCTGGAACTCGGCCCCATTGACCACACTGCAGAAGGGTTAAGTAAATGCCCTCAGACTCTCTGGTGACTTTGGAGTCTCATGGAAGCTGCTCTTCTGGTTACCAAGGAGGGAGGTACAGGCAGCCTGTGCATCCCCTCATACTCTCTGCAGGTGTGTTGGCAGAGACAGGACCGTGGGGTCCGGGGGGGGGGGCCTGCGTTCCCCAGATGCTCTCTCAAAGGTGCCCAGTCCACCTTCCTCCATCCCACCTGCTCCTCAATGGCGATGTTCATCAAGTCCCACCCTTTGTCATGTTCTAGGAGGAAAATGGGCTTCCCTTGATCTGTCAAGGACAACAAGTTCCCAATGGCATGTAGTGGAACAGAGCCGGGCTGTGAGTCGAGGAGTTCTGAACTCACATCCCAGCTGTGCCACTAGACCTGGGAGCATGAGCAGGTCCCTAAACCCCCAGTTTCCAATGCTCTGTAACAGCCCTTCCTTCCTAGCATTGTGGAGATGAGGTGAGTCAGGGGGTCTGCATAAGCACACTTGGTAACTAAAGGTCTGTTCCATCTCTCCCTCTGGTCCACAACCCTCTCCTCACCACATTCACCCCAAAGTTGAGGCAGCTTGAAACAAAGTAGGAGAAAGGAGGTATGTGGTCCCCATCTCCCACAGAGCTGCAGGACACCTGCTTGCTCTTGGGAAGCTCATCTGCCCACTGGGGCACAGCAGACAGATTAAAAATGGCCCCAACTCACCCCCCAGTGGTGTACCTACCCCCTTTACAATGTGCCTTTGCACTTCCCCCACGAGGAGTTTCCCAGGAGGCTCCCTCCCCTGCCCCTTAAATCTGGGCTGACCTCTTGGCTTGCTTTGGCCAAGAGATATACAGAAGCAACAAGACACCAGGTCTGAGCCCAGGCCTCAAGTGGCCCAGAGCACTTGCATTTGCCCCTTGGAACTCTGCTGCTGTCATATGAATAAGTGTGGGCTAGCGTGTGTGATGATGAGAGGCCCGCAGCCTGGTCACCCCATCACCCTAACACACAGCCAGCCAACTGCTCTCCTAACCAGCCAGCTGCAGCTAAATGGCCAGCTGACCAAAGAGGCATCCACAAGCCCAGACAGGATCAGCTGTGTATGACCCAGGTCTGCTGGTTGTGAGACTAATGAGTAACAACAAAGGCTCATTGTTTCACGACACCGAGTTCTGGGGGGATTGTTACGCCGCATCAGCTAACTGATGCAGAGGCCTTCTCGCCTCCAAGCTGACGGGCAGCTTGGGCACAGGTGGCAGGGGACCGAGGCCAAGTTCTTGATGGCACCAAGCGAAGGCTCCATGTGGGAGCGTGCAGGGGATGGCAACAGATGTGGGCTGCACAGCACCGAGAGCTTCTCTGAGATGAATCCAGGCAACTGGGATAACCTCGCCTCACCTCTGCCTCTCTTGATGCAGCTCAGCCTTTCTCCGGCTTCCTGCGGCACTGGGTTGATTCTGCTGCTGCTTCCCCACTGGGCTCCCCTCCTCAGCCCTTCAGTCAACAAATGAGCTGACTCACCACCTCAGGGGAGGCCCCCCAAGCTGAACACCCTCGGGGATCCAGGAGCAGAAAGGGTAACTGAGTCATTCCGCTGCTGCAGGCTGTTTCCCTTTGTCAATGCCTATTTCTCAGGCCTGCTGGCTCCCCAGCCAAAGGGGCTACTGCTAATAAGCCGCAGAGATGCCCACAGGGAGGAAGCGACACTTTGCTGGCTATTTAATGGCCCACGAAGGAAGGGCAGAACACCAGGTGTCTCCAGGCCCATGCTTCAGGTTCACGATCTCACTCTTTGACCCCAGGAAGGAGCAAACAGTCATCCTAGGTAGCCACGGAAGACCTTCCTGAGCCCCAGGAATGGAGTGGCGTGATTCAAGATGCAACTCAAAATAGAAACAGCATTCAACCAAAAATAACCAGAAGACCCAGCAACTTTCAAGCATTTTCCCTTGATGAGGGCTTGGATGCTCCTTTGAAATATTAAAAATCAAACATTAAATTCTTTCAAAACACCGGCTTACTCAGGTTCCCCTGCTAGGCCAGAGCATCAAGAATGCGTTTGGTCAGCCCTTCTACAAAATGTTTGCGCACGTGCGAGGCAAAGGTCAAAGCTCCTGGGATTCCACCCTTCACCCACTCGTGTGTCAACCATCATCCACAGGCTCTGAAAAGGTGATTCAGAAAGATGAACATGTCCCAGCGCCTGCCCTCACATGTTCCTAGGTCCCATGGGGAGGGGAGTACAAAGAGTCACCACACAAGTGGTGGGTACCGTGCGGGCCCTGGGATGATGGGGGCGATGGAGGTGTGCTCAGAATGTGGCAGGTCCCACAGGGAGGGAACCCACGAAGGCCTCCCCAGCACGCACGGGGATTTGCAAGGATTGAGGGACAGAGAAGGAAGGGGACAGTGGCCATGTAGAGTCTCTGTTCCCTTCCCCATCTCAGCCAGGCCCCAAGTCTCAGTTGCCTTGAGCATCCCTGAGCAACAAACCTACCAGAACAAACTCAACACAGTATCTTTTCCTCATGAGCTCATGTCTAAGAATTTCTAAGGGGAAAAAATGAATTTCTCAGACTCATAGCACTTTTGCTGAAGTACTAAGGCTTTAAAATCCGTAAACAGTAGGATATAATTAAATGTAAATGCAGGGCCACATTTAAAAATTAATCTTCTATAATTAATTAGTAATTTAAAATATTCTGGTAAATGATACTTAAATGGCACAGAATTATCCTAGCTCTGAGTGATAAAGTCACCTGCTGAAGATTTACCATGTTGGAGTAAGAAATATTTGCATATATCATGTGGGACAACAGAACACTGAGATTACTTAATTTTCCTTTGCTGTAAATGTAGTAAAAAGCACAGTCTTTATATTTAAATTGTGGGAGCAAACTCACTCACTGCAGCAAACTCTGAGAAGCAATTGATTCAAAGCCAGGAGCTAACCCAGGTTGTGCTTCTAGTAAAGATTAAACTGGCCTCCAGCCACACTCCTTGCCTGGGAAGCCAGTCTGGGCAGGGGTGAGGAGGGATATTGGGAGTGGCCCTTTCCACCTCTGTCCTTTCTATTCACCTGTTCCTGGCAATCTGGGTGAAAGGTGACCCCCACTCCCAGAGCAATGGGGAGCTGTCCTACCCATAGGCTGTTCCCCTCACTGTTTTTTCTCCCACCCTTCTTGCCGCAATAAGAGATCACTGATATCTGTCTAACTGCAAAGGTAACTGCCATGTCTTTCCCAACAATGCGATGCCTTCCCCAGACTGCTCTGACACCAGCAATGCCTTTATCCTGGTGTGTGTGTGTGTGTGTGCGTGTGTGCGTGTGTATGCGCACACATGCATATCTAGTGTAGGTCTGCACAGGGTGGCGGGGGGGGGCAGGTCCCTGTTAGACTGTGTTCATCTGAGGGTCTGCTTGTACCAGCTATTTGGCTGGTTAGCAGTACCACTGTATCAGCCGGTGTATGTGTGTATGTGTGTCTGTGTGTATGTGTGTGCACATATGTGCACACATGTCCAGTCTCCCATACCAACATGCCCTGCTGCTTATGGTCAATCCTCTCTACATACTGCTCTCCCCTACTCTGTGCCAAAGCTGGGCCTGGGAATGTCCCACCCACAGGAGCAGCCACTCCCGTTTGCTGACCCACCCAGGCCAAAGGCAGGGTTCTTAAGCAAACTTAAGCCTTCCCAGAAGCAGTTTTAAGACCAAAGCCTTGGGGCACCTGGGTGGCTCAGTTGGTTGGGCGACTGCCTTCGGCTCGGGTCATGATCCTGGAGTCCCGGGATCGAGTCCCACGGCGGGCTCCCTGCTTAGCGGGGAGTCTGCTTCTCCCTCTGACCCTCCCCCGTCTTGTGCTCTCTCTCTCTCTTTCTCTCTCTCAAATAAATAAATAAAATCTTTAAAAAAAAAAAAAAAGACCAAAGCCTTTAGATCATGATGGATTTCCACCTTAACTGTTTTCCATCAATGTCCCCCACCAAAGCCTTTGCTGACAGGCTAGCCAGGGGCTTGAAGACAAGCTGAAAGGCAATCAAGGCACACACAAGAAAACCTAGCTTCGAGCTCTTTCTATTGGAAGGGAGAAATATAAAATCTCCATGCATTTATTCCCTCAGCAGCCACTGTGGGCCAGCCTTGTGCTGCTCTTGGAAGATACAAAGGTGGGCGCCACCCTGTCCCTGTCCATGAGGGGCACACTTTCTTGTGGGATGCCCAATATCTACGGGCCGCACAGAGCTGGACAGTGCTCAGGCTGCAGGGCCTGGCAGGCTGCTCTGTCTGACTCATGAACCATGAGCAAGGAGTGGCAACTCTTCTCCATAAAGCACATAAATGTTCCAAATAGTTCAAGTTTTCTACTCTTTCCAGCAAAACAAAAGAGGCAGAGAGGGAAAGGAGAGGAGGAAACAAAGAGGATACAAAAAGGAAAGAGGGAAGCCTAGATACAACTAGAGACAGGGGCACAGAAATGACAAGTGAGAGTCCTAGGGTGCCTCCCACCCCACGCCCAGAGGAGGCGTCAGTGGATGAGAGACCCGGGGCGTGAACACTCAGCCAGCCACTGGGAATGCCCAGCAGGACTGTGGTCATGGTATGTAACCACAATAGTCTACGTCATGTCAGGTCTCCAGGAGGAGACACCACCTCTGTGTCCCCCACCAGTACTTTATATGGTTCCTGGTCTGTAGTAGGCACCCAATCTGTACTAAATGAATGGGTGTTTAGGTGGGCGGATGGATGGAAGGATGGAAGGACAGATCGATAGATGGATGCATGGATGAACAGAAAGACACAGGGACAGATAATGGACAGATGGATGGAACCTCCTCCAGGAAGATGAGATGAAGCCCAGGGCCAAAACTGAGTGTGCACTGGAGGTCTCGCCATCAAATCCAGCCTGAAGAAGAAAGAAGAGTAAGACATACGTAACCCTCTCAGCACTGGAGCCATGGTTATGGAGTGCCCTGTAAGCTCTTAGCTTCAAAGACCCCAAAAGGGGCCCCAAGAACAAACTGGTCCTAAAGTTCAGACTCTCTACCCTGGATTAGGACCCCTTCCTGCTGATACCCCAGCCTCAGCCCCAGCCACTCCCCACCCAGTACACCAATATACTAGGGCTCTCCAGACCCCTGTCCCCCAGCCCCCACCTTGGCCATGGGGTTAATGAAGGTTCATTCCTGCAGACCCAGCCCTGGTGTCACCCACTCCAGGAAGCATCCCTGACTCTCTGGCCACCCCCAACGTCTCCCCGGCCAGAGGGAACTGCTCCATCCTTGGCGTTCTCACAGAACCTGGTCCACAACTCTGTGCTGACAGGCAAAGGGGTCTGTTTATACCTCCATCCTCCCTATCAAGCTGGGAGCCGCAGCTGAGCAGGGACAATAGCCTCAGGGCCCAGCACAGAACTTGGCACAGCACTCGGGCTCATTAAATACTAGAGAAATGAAAGAAGGAACCTAGGAGCAGAAGGGAGAAGGCTCCAACAGCCACAGACAGGATTTCCAGGCAAAGCCTCTGCCCTCGGCCCCTCTCAGGACTCCCACGGCCCTGGAGTGAGAAGAGCACACCCCCATCCCCACCTACCCTGCCTGGTGATTCAGGCTGACAGGCTATATGAGGAGAGCATCTTAGTGGGTATCACTGCCTGCTGAAGCCCCACTTAGCGGTCAATGGTCTAGAGACAAACAAAAGCCCAGCTGAGGATAGAATGTGTTCAACTCACTTCCCAGTTGGGGTGATTAAAAAGTGCCACCTACCCTTACTGGGAGCCCCACTGCCAAACCCAGAGCAGAACAGGCCCTGCTGGAGGAAGGGTTCTCTATGGCCTGTGCCCTCAGCAGGACCCAAGGCCACCCCACAGTGGGCTCCAGGTCCAGGACCAGAGTGCTGTCCCCCCCTGAGCCCAGTCTCCCCAAGGGGAGTCTTTTAAAGGCAATACACTGATGTGGTGGTTGTTTAGACTATGATGAAAAGATTTCAGAGCAAGGAATGTGGATTCGAGACTGAGCAACGGAAGGTGAGGGGATCTTGAGGTGGGGCCTATTACCTGAGCCCATGCCCCCATTCCCACCCAGTGCCTCAGCCTGCTTGCACCCCTGCCACTCACCCACTACCAAGGCCAGACTCCCCAAGCCCCCAGCCCCCAGCCAGGACGGCCCCTCATCAAGAGGGATCCCAGAGAGGCTGGTGGTACACAGGCCCCCAGGCTGAGCCCCCACAGTGGATGCATGCATCCTGGACGCTGGGCAGAGAAGCAGCTCCCAGCAGAGCACGTGGACAGCCTGGCGCTTCCCAGGCAGCCAAGTCTGTGTCCTCCAGAATTTGTCACCAATGATAGTGAAAGTGCCAGCCTTCCCAACAGATTCACATGTGGCAACATGGAGAAGATTCGAGCAGCACTGTCTTCCTCCTTCCTCCCGTCAGCCAGGCTTTCTGAGTGGGCAAGGGAGAAGTTACAGTCCACAGAGCAGCATACCCCACCCCCACTGCAGCTCATATACGCTAGTCCTGATTGGGTACACAAGCCACCTGTCGTCAGTAGCACTGTGGCTCTGAGGCCATTTACTGGCCCATAGCAGTGTTTTGAGTTTCATAAAATTCAGGACATGTCCCGGCAGTGGATCAGCGTTGTGAACACCTTCTGTCCTTGTCACAACAAAGGAGAGGCTGGGTCAGTCTGCTGGAAAAGCCCAAGCTGTGCCTCCAGGCAGTGAATGAAGTTTTTGTGCTGGGATGGCGTGCCCAGGTCTCTCCCAGGGGACCTCCTGGGCTAGCCAGCCGTCCAGGTCACGCTCCCCGCCAGAGTCCGGAAGTCCCTCCCTCCCTCAAAATTCTTTGAGCATAAGCACCCTGAAAACCTCTGCCAGACCGTGGCACACCATATTTACCCACCACTATCATCACAACAATATGGCAGCCGGGGCTCTGGAGGCAGTCACAGCTGGACTTGACTCCGCCCAATCCCCCTAGTGGCCACTCGCGGGACCTGAAGCAACAGTGAACTTCCTGGACTTCAGTTGCCTCATATGCAAAGTGTGAGCATTAGAGAAAGCACACAAAAGGCCAGGACCACCCCCAGCCCCAGCCCCCACCCCCAACATGAAATCAAAAACCAAGACTCTGACCAGCTGGAGCTGAAGGCAACAAAGCCCAAGTGCCGTCCTCCCCCGCAGTCTCTGGCCACCCCTCCCAGGGGCTTGTCACTCTTGCCCAACACTAAGAGTAGCCACTCCTGGGGCATCTCCAGCTCAGCAGCCCCCAGCAAAGCCAAGACTTCGCAAATGCAGGCGGGGGGATCAAGAAGGCACCAGGCCAAAGCCAAGCCAAGTATTTCCAACACTGCAGGAGTTTGCATAATTAACCACTTGGAAATAGTATCTTTAGGCCAGTCTTGTTTACGTGTTAAATCCTTGCAGGGCCTAGAAACAGAGCAAGGGCTGAATTCATCTAGAAGGGAAACAATGAATATGGAAATGAAAGAGAACAGATGTTTTTCTGAGAAGCTAGGTACCACATGCTTTACCGTGGCTCTTGTCTCCTTCATCCCTACTTTACAGAGGAAGAAGCCGAGGTCACCAAAGTGAGGCAAAACAGCCAAGGGCACAGCAACAGTAAGTGGAGGAGCCGGCACCTGACCCCAAATCTGTTGAACTTCAAAGCCAATATCCTTCCCACTCCCAAGCTTCACGGCAGGGCAGTGGCAAGGCAGAAAGGAAGCAAGGACAGGAGGTGAGGGATTGGCGAGAAGAGAGATGGAGAAGGCGGGCAACCGGATTAACGGATACCATCCCGGGAGCCGGCTCCGGCCAGGGGAATTTAGCAAGGAGAAGAGCCCTCCTGTGAGCAGACGCTGGCACACACGCTGCTGGGAACATTCTGAGAAAGCCTGGACACATTAGTGCTGCTAATCCTAGGCTGCCCATTACTGGCCTGAATCACTTCCTACAGGGAATCGTGTTCCAGAGAAAATGCCGAGCGCCGACAGGACATCACAGCCTGGCTGACCACCAGCGTGATCCGGGGCCTGATTAGCCAAGGGCGGCAGGGCTGCCAGCCAATTGCACCAAATTAAGCATTCCGAATTTTACGTTCTCCAGCAGTGGGCTTCGTGCTGGTTCCTGATGCATAAGGTAGCATTTTGAGTAATAATTAATTAGAGGGGAAAGCGGAATAAGCATACCAAAGTACTTCAAATGGAATTAGTATAATTCTGCCTTTCTCTTCACTTTCCTTTCAATCAGAGAGAGCCAAGTAGGTGAATGGGGTTGGAGAGGAAATCGCAGACAGCATTTGGCCACCCTGTGACCCCTTGGGCCACCCCTGTTCCCAGGCACACCACGCCCCCAGCACATTCCCCTCCCCCACCCCCATGCCCCCCTCCCCCACGAAAACCAACCCAGGCCAGACAGGGACCTGCCAACTCCAGCTCGTCGCCTTTCTGCCATCAGGCCACCAGGGCTGGCACCATCAGCCAGCTCAGAGCGTATTTCTAGTTGTCTATTCTCAAGTTACTAAATTCTTTGTTAAACTGGTGGGCCCTTTCTTCCTTGGAAGGCCCTAACCCCTAATAAAGCCATTAAAGAAAAAAAATCACTGGTTAGCTCAGGTACCAAAAATATCAGCCCGTGCACCAAGTATCATTTGGTAATATGCAACTGACACCTCCTCCAGGTGCTAGCAAATACCAAAGGCAGAGCTGCCCACCTCTGCAGAAAGCTGGAAATTTATTTTATCCCTAAAGGCTTACACCTGCCAACAAAGAGGGGAAAATTAAAATAGCAAAGATACAAACCAACAACAGCCTGAGTTTTGCCTCCAAAATCTCTGGCAGTCACTTGTAAATAGGCTTCCTGCTAGCTGCCCCCAGCCCCTCACTGTCTAAGTAGGCCTTGGGTTACCTGTTAGGGACCAGTCAGGAGCCAAGTTGTGCTCAGGATCTAACTCTTTCTGGCTTGTGTCATAGACCCAACACCTAGGAGTCCCCACATCCATTTTGGCTATGCACAAGTGGACTGCACCTGTGGTCCACCGTGGCACCCTGGGCAGAGGCTCCTGTGGCCCCAGGCCCCACCACCTACCTCGTTGATGAAGGAGTGGGCCCCCTGCGGGCTGAGCAGAAGGATGGCGCGGCGTAGCGTGTCTCGGTAGCGGTTCAGCTCCTCCGTCTTCATGGTGGTGAAGAGGCTGGTGAACACGTGGCTAATGTTCTTGTCCACCTTTTGTAAAGAGACGTCAAGGCCCAGCCTCGAGGCCTGATCCAGAAAACTTTGGAGCCCACGGATATCTGAGCAGCAGAGAAGGGGGAGGAAAGAAGGATCTTTAAGCATGAAGGATCTACCCCAATGCTCCCCACTAGATACAGGCTGCTGCCATAAGCCAGGGCTCACGTCTGCCTCAGTGACCACTGAACAGAGGTTAGAAAACATCGACACATCTATTTGGTCCCAGCGTCCAGCCCCAGGGTGTCTCCTACCACGAGGAGCATGCCCTGCCATCCAACAGGTCCTGTGGCCGGAAAGTCCTTTGTGATAACCTCCTTTTCTCTCCCATTGCTTCCACCCAAGGGGAATGAAACTTCTGGCAATTCTGTCCTCGAGGCTATGTGTGGTGGTGGTCCCTGGCCCTGGTCCCCAATTGCCTGCATCTCTCTCTGTGCTCACGGCTCAGACTCCTTGACCCAGGGCAGGTGAGCTAAGGCTACTGCCTTCCCTGACTGAAGCAGGCCCAACCTTGGCCCAGCTCCAATCCTGTGACTGAGCATCCCGCCCTCACACCCCAACCCTGAGGCTTGGGACCCTGTCCTGTTCCAGGGGCCTGATTTCCCCAGATGGAACTCCTCTTCTACTCTCTTTCCAACTGGGGTGACTGCCCAAATCCAACCTGAACTTCACATCCTGACTGGTTCAGGGGTGAGCAGATGGTCCAAGATGGTCCACTGAGCACCATCCTTGGACTCTGGAGGAGCACCGGGGAGACAGCCCTGCTCTTTCCTCTGTGGTTACTAAGAGGTCAGGATACAAGGCCAGGGCAAGAAGGGAACAGGGGAAGCTAGAATAAAGTACTAGGGAATGAGCATTCAGAAGGAGCTTGGGGCCCAGCTCTACCACATATTAATGCAAGCCCACTCTCATGAGCGCCAGGGTGCTGATTTTTTTTAACTAGGGCCCAAATCTTCTCTCAGCCCTGCGTGAGCCATCTGTCTCCTCCAAAGGGAGAACTCCCCAAGACTGGAGCCAACTCAGAGGCAAGCAGGTATGAAAGTGACACCTGGTCCCAATGACGTCAATGAAGCCTCTGTGCATCTGTGAATCTGGCTTCTCCTGGATTTTTCTATGAGCCAAAGAATACCCTTTCCTGCCTGAGCCAACCTGAGCTGGATTTCTGTCACTTGCAGCCCAAAGTCTCAACCCAGAGGGCACATTTTCAAAGTCTGGGATGTTTCCTTCATCTGGCCCATACGTGTATGCCAGCTCCCAAAGGGAAGCCCACACCCAAGCAGTCCCCTCTCAAGGACACTCTGGGCCTGCCCATGTCACATAAGCTGCTCTCTCCCAGAGCCTGGGATGCCCATGGGCCCCCACAGGCACACCCTGGCCCACCCAGTCCCCCAAAATCAAATTTACTTACGTAAACGGTGTTAATTCAACCAGAGTGCTTTTCCCAACCCATTCCTGTCCCAGACTTTCACTTCATGCCCATTCCACAAACTTCCTGAGTGTGCCAGGCACCATGCAAGCTGCTACAGTGGACCCTCGGCTGTCCGTCTCATCAGGATGACAGGCTCACCAGTAAGGCTAGTCCCAGCTGGACACAACAAGAGTAGTCATGGAAAACCACAGTGCCAGGGAGGAGACTAGAGTGCATGGCAGCACTAGGGTGCTGGGGGAAAATGTGCAGGGGGGCCCTATTTCCCACCATGGGGGAAGTCGGGGAAGAGGCTCTGAGCACTATCTGTGGACCCCGACACTTAGAATTTAGGATGGTTCCTTAAATACTTGGGCAAATCTTCCAACCAATTTGTGCCTCAGTTTGCCTATCTGTTAATGGGATAAAACTTTCTATGCCCAGCATGAAGCCTGATGCAGGGATTGATCTAATAACCCTAAGGTCACGATGTGAGCTGAAATCAAGAGTCAGATGCTCTCAGGGAAATACAAATCAAAACCACAATGAGATACCACCTCACACCACTCAGAATGGCTAAAATTAACAAGTCAGGAAATGACAGATGTTGGCAAGGATGCGGAGAAAGGGGAACCCTCCTACACTGTTGGTAGGAATGCAAGCTGGTGCAGCCACTCTGGAAAACAGTATGGAGGTTCCTCAAAAAGTTGAAAATAGAGATACCCTACAACCCAGCAATTGCACTACTGGGTATTTACCCCAAAGATACAAATGTAGTGATCCAAAGAGGTATGTGAACCCCAATATTTATAGCAGCAATGCCCACAATAGCCAAACTATGGAAAGAGCCAAGATGTCCATCAACAGATGAATGGATAAAGAAGATGTGGTATATATATACACAATGGAATATTATGTAGCCATCAAAAAAACGAAATCTTGCCATTTGCAATGACATGGATGGAACTAGAAGGTATTATGCTAAGCGAAATAAGTCAATCAGAGAAAGACAAGTATCATATGATCTCACTGATATGAGGAATTTGAGAAACAAGACAGAGGATCATAGGGGAAGGGAGGAAAAATGAAACAAGATGAAACCAGAAAGAAGATGAAACCAGAGAGGGAAACAAAGCATAAGAGACTCTTAAACTCAGGAAACAAACTGAGGGTTGCTGGAGTGGTGGGGGGTGAGAGGAATGGAGGGCTGGATGATGGACATTGGGGAGGGTATGTGCTATGGTGAGCACTGTGAATTGTGTAAGACTGATGAATCACAGACATGTACCTCTGAAACAAATAATATATGTTAAAAAAGAAGATGGTAGGAAGGGAAAAATGAAGGGGGGGCATCGGAGGGGGAGACAAACCATGAGAGACTATGGACTCTGAGAAACAAACTGAGGGTTCTAGAGGGGAGGGGGGTGGGAGGATGGGTTAGCCTGGTGATGGGTATTAAAGAGGGCACGTTCTGCATGGAGCACTGGGTGTTATGCACAAACAATGAATCATGGAACACTTCATCTAAAACTAATGATGTAATGTATGGTGATTAACATAACAGAATAAAATAAAATTAATTTAAAAAAAGAGTCAGATGCTCAACACCAGCGAGCCACCCAGGCACCCCCCCATGGGGCTACTTTTAAGACAGAAGCCCTGTTCTTTCACTGAAATTGTCATACGGTATTCGAGATAGAGGTGTCTGATAAGCTCACTCAGTCAGTTATTGCTGAGAAACAAATCAACCCCAAATTTAATGACCTAGAACATCATTTATTATTTGTTGGGAGTCTGTGGATCAACTGGGCAGTTCTGTTCTAGGCTCGCTCGTGCCACTGGATTGGCTGACATATGGCCGGGGGCCAGCATGATTCTCCATGTGTGTCCACGGCCCTTCAGCAGGCCAGCCCAGGAATGTTCACATGGTGGTGGCAGAATGCACAAACACCTATTCAGACCTCTGCTTACACCAAGTCACAACTGCCTGGTAGGTCAAAGGAGGCCACGTGTCCCAGAGTAGGAGCTCGAAGGGTCTTTAAAGTGACAGGGCAAGAGGCATGGGGAGTAGGGAGGCTATTACCAGGGACCTGAATGCAGCTAATCTCCCATATTTGGGAACATCATTTACAGCATGCTGGTTAACAGACAGTTTCTCAGGCAGCATCGTGCAATCGAACTTTCCGCAATGATCCATCATATATGATGTACATTTGTCCAGTATGGTAGCCACTAGCCTAAAATGTGGCTAGCGTGACTGAGGAACGGAGGTGTGCTTTTATTTAATCTGAATGAATTTAAGTTTAAACGTCAGTAGCCGCACGTGGCTAGTGGCCGCTGTACGGGACAGCCCAGACCGAGGGCGAGGCCATCCTGGGCACGGATGGAAGGCTGTTGCGTGCCCAGGAGAGAAGCAGCTGCTGCGCACGGGTGTCTGCTTGGTGCTGAGATGTTCAAGCGTATATGGGCAGGCGTGAGTTGTGCTGTGCTCAGGACAGGGAGTGGCTGGGGTTGACACCAGCTCTGAGTTGTTTTAGTTGGGGGTCCCCTCCCCCTGTTGCACTTCTGTCCCCCGAGCCATCTGTGCACCTCTGCCCTGCCATCCCCTCTGTTTGGCTAGAAAGCTCTGAAGAACCTCTTCAACCTTTCAAGGCTTTGGGGTAACAGGTGTCTAGGGGCCCGAGCAGGCTGTGGGGACTGCATAGCCTCCCTGGGAATCCGAGGGGTGTTGACAACTAGGGGCCTGTGTGTCGGGAGCCCCTGGTGCTTTGGCAGGACCTACTTTGCAGCTTCGGGGCAGGGGGGCTGGGGTCTTGGTGAAGAAAGCCCGTCCTGCTCTTCTGTACCTGGTACCTTTTTCCTGTTGGACTCAGTGGGCAGAGCAACAGAGACCCCTGTGCGTTGCCAGGCAAGCAGCTCTAGGTAAACGTCTGTGCTCCAGGCCGCCAATGGGCGAAGCTGGCCAAGGTCACGGCTGGACTTGAATACAGGTGCCACAGGATTGACTCTTAGTCATGCATTTGCCATCCCTAGAAAGGTGCCCAGGGCTCTCACTAGGGCCCTGCTGTGCCCTCCCCACAAACCACTAGGAGGTTGGCTCTCTGTGCCTCCCACACAAGTAGCCCTATACACAGTTTCTCCGCAGCACTGCCCCCGTGGGGCTTCACCTGGACACCAACAGTCCTCACTGCCCCATGGCCTTGATCTGACCCAGATCTGAGCACAGCTGACAGGACAGTGAGAGCTGACTGGGACAGGCATGAAGCGGGCACCCTGAGACCCACATCCACTAGCTCCCACTCCTCTTGGGGCACCTTGCAAGGCCATCATGAGTCTTTAAAGTGGCTGAGACGAGCCATGTCTGCAGAGGCATGCTTGCTGTGCCCTCTCAGGAGCACGTGCACATGGAGGACTCCAGCGTGGCTCTGTGCATGCCCTTGGCTCCATGAGGGCTCTAGGGACCTCACATATCATGCCAACATGGCCGGTCCTCCCAAAAGGGGAGAAGTCCCCTGAGGTCCCCCTGCCTAACAACCATCTCAACCTGTAGGATGGTTTCACTTTCTTAGGATGAGGAGGCGCCATTGTGTGCAGGCCACCGCCCCGGGACCCACAAGTACGACAGGCACACACGGAGAACACAAGCCCTCAGAGCTCCCC